ACACACCAATCAAGTACATAAAAGAAATAGTGGAGACATTGTGCATTCGGTTCCAACCGTTTGACTGTTCCTTGGTGGTAGTTGAGGACTGATTTTGAAAAAAAAATGGTTTCCATGGCTGCTTCTCTCTGTGTGAACATAGTTTGGATAAAAATAGTCAGCAGTAGAGTTTGATGCCTTACTTTTAAGTGCTCTTCTTCCCCACCCATCACCCTTGCCAATTTTTCTTTCAGTCTGCTTTTCAAAAACATATACGCAGAGTGAAGGATCAGGGTTTAAGTTTACTAGACCCAAACTTTCATCCTTGCGTGCTTGAAGAGTGCACTCTGCCCATGTTCGTGCATCCAAAACGTTTTTGGGTATTCTCAGCCCAAGGCTTACAATGTGAGGTGAAGTATTGGGAAACCTTAAATTAAATCAATTTTTTTTCACTGGAAGCTCTTTAATTCTAGCCAAACTGTGCCCCAAATACAATTCTAAAAGGATCACCCTACTCATGATTCAAACACTCCTTAACATCAGTTCACCAAACAGCTTCTAGAACAGCATTTCTCAACCTGGGGGTCAGGATGTGTCAGGGGTCACCAAAGACCATCAGAAAACACAGTATTTTCTGTTGGTCATGGGGGTTCTGTGTGGGACGTTTGGCCCAATTCTATCATTGGTGAGGTTCAGAATGCTCTTTAATTGTAGTTGAACTGTAGAACCAAGCAACTACAACTCCCAAGTGTCAAGGTCTATTTTCCCCAAACTCCACCAGTGTTCACATTTGGGCATGTTGAATATTTGTGCCAAATTTGGTCATGATCCATCATTGTTTGAGTCCAGAGAGCTCTCTGGATATAAGTGAACTACAATTCTAAAACTCAAGGCCCACCAAACCCTTCCAGCACTTTCTGTTGGTCATGGGAGTTCTGTGTGCCGGGATTAGTTTGGTTCCATCGTTGGTGGAGTTCAGAATGCTCTTTGATTGTAGGTGAACTATAAATACCAGCAACTACAATTCCCAAATGACAAAATCCATCCCACCCCAACCCCACCAGTATTCAAATTTGGGTGTATCGGGTATTTGTGCCAAATTTCATCCAGTGAATGAAAATACATCCTGCATATCAGATATTTACATGACAATTCATAACAGTCGCAAAATTTCAGTTATGAAGTAGCAACGAAAATAATGTTATGAGGAATTGTATTAAGGGGTCGCAGCATCAGGAAGGTTGAGAAACACTCTTCTAGAACTGAAAAATTGCCATCTTTGGATCTCTGAGGCAAATAAACTGCCCATGTCAATTTAGCTGGAAGTCACAGAACATTCTCCTCTATGAGCAATAGTGAATGGGACAGAATTTACCTATTAGACCTTCAAGCCATCCCCAGCCATTGGGATAAGTGAGGATGTCACAGCAAATTCAGTGAAGAAAGGTAAAGTGTCAATTGCTTAACCTTGATAATCAATGCAGCTGCTGCAAATAATCTAACTGGGAAAAGAGCCTGGGAATAGAAGTCTGCAGTTTGGGGAACGAGCAGGAATAGAGAAGTGTATGGGACAAAGAGACCAGCAGGACTGAATTTCACACACAGACTTAAAATAACCAGCTAGCTCTCTTTTCTAATGGTCTTATTGGAAGAGATTGTCCAGCAGAATAGCATTGAGGAAACAGCTGTCAGGGACTAACTCACGGGATTCATATTGTAGGCGTCTACTCTTAAGTAGTAGATCTAGTTCTCTTTTATGCTAGTGGCAACCATGGGATCTAAGCCACATACACAATATGAATTGTAGTCAAGTGTTTTATCCACTTGGCTGGCGGATTGCTTTCCAAATGCAAACTTGGAGTCTAGGTGCAAGTTAAACATGTATCATGTTCCCGTGCACCTCTTTTTTTTCCCTAGCAAAATGGCAACCAGTAGGAAAAGTCTATCAAAATTGAGACTCTGGGTAGCAGAGAAGTTAGTTGTTCCGGTAGCTCTTATTTGGAACAGAGTGGAAACTGATAGCAGCTCCAAGGGATCTTTGGATGGACAGCAGTGAGCAAAAGGTCATCCATTGCTAGTAGCATAATGTGTTTACCAAAATGGTATAGGGTTTCTGTTTTGGTAGTTAGGTTTTGGCATGTACAGTGTTCCCTCACTTATCATGGGTGTTACGTTCCAGGACCACCCGTGATAAGTGAAAATTCGCAAAGTAGGGTATTCAAGTAGGGGCCCCGGAGATTTCTGTTTAAAGACTTCTAAAAGGCAAACTTGAGAGTTTTCTTCACATATTAAACTTAGGAATAGCAGCTGTGTGTAGGAAGGGGGCACATTGCAAATCAACATTCTGATAACCGCAAAACAAGTCCTCAGTAAGCGAACCACTAAGCAATGAGGGAACTCTGTAAACTGTAATTGTAATATGGTGAATAGGTGGTCTAGTGTAATGGAATTGTGTGGTGTGCCCTCATCATTTCTGATTTAAGGCAGCCTTAAGGGAAACTTATCATAGCGGCTGAGTGTGTACGACTTACTCAACATCACCCAGTGGGTTTTTAGGGCTGAGCATGGATTCAAACTCAGGTCTCTCAGACCATTACAGCATACTGGCTCCCAAATAGGCAAAGACTAATGGTGATCCCATGAATGAGAGCCAGAAATAAATCTCCTGAGTGTTGGAGGAATGAGCTAATTCCTCTTTCCCATGGTTTCTATCCTCATACTTCTCTCTCCCCCACCCACATTTGTTGCTGCTATTTAAAAGGTGAGGAAATAGACATGCAAGACAAAACTACCCATTCAGACGAATGTGTAGCTTGAGCCATACTTGCTCATTCCTGGCTCTGATTAAATCTTGGCTCTGTTCCTTCCCAACAACATTCCTGAGTCTGGCGCATACAGCCCATAAGGGAAAAGGCCTATTTCTTCTTAATGCCTGAAGCACAGGTGAGCATCTGTGTGTTTTGCAGCATTAATCTCTTGGCCCCCAGACAAGAAAGAGAGATATGCAAGGGTGGCATCTGTGCAGTCTGCTTGGAGAATACATCCTCCCTGGGCTGAAATCGCCAGGGAATAAGAGTCTCTATCAAATGGCTGTGTTGTGTCTCTGGGATCAAATTCTTTCCTTCCAAAAACCACACCACAGTCCAAGCAACGTGTGAGGAACTGTATCCTGCTCCCACAATGCCCTCCGCCCCTGATTCTCCTGAGCTCATCTGAAGTTTAACTATAGCCTGTTGCTGCTTGTTCTTGTTTGCTTGGTGGCTTGGGGTTGCATTTCTTCCTCTTCCACCCCCACCACACTTTTTTTCGCAATACACTTTTGTGCCAGCCCAAGCCATTCAAGCTGCCACTGCCAGCTGGCTGAACTGAGCACTGAATTAAATTACGTCTGGAAGTCTGGTATGTGGATGCAACTGGGAATGGTTTGGAATCAGCATAGGTTAAGAAAAGCCCATGCTTTTTCAACAGAAGGGCAAGACATTTGTTGTTGTTGTGTTGTTTGTGTCCACTGCCTGTTGTTAGTGGACTGGATCACTGTGAGTGAGAGGTGTGTAGATCTGGAAGAATGTCTTGTAATGGGGAGGCCATGGAATCAAGGTAGATGTTTTTGAAAGTTTCTGAGTAGCAAATGCTTTTTGAAAATGTATTTTAAAAATCAGGGGAGAGGGCTGACTTCACAAAATTCCTAGTTTTTTCCTGTTTGAAGCATATCTGCTTTGTTGTTGTTGTTGTTGTTCTGCTTGTTATTTTAGACAATTTTATTTTGATGTGTTCTTGCAGTAAAGGATTGACAAGAAAAGATTAAAGGCGGACATTCCTTTTAGCATGGACTTCCACAGGAAGACCTAGCTATGCCTGGAGAATTGTTCTGTCTCGACATCTAGTGCAATTCCATGGTCAATGTCCAGTAGAAGTTGACCATAGAATCATGTTGGGGTCCTCAAGTGAATACTTCTCTAGGTCCACCTATATAATTTTGTGGTATTCAAAACGCTTCACATATAACTGAAAGCAAGGGCAACAAGTTCATGTAATATGCATGCCTGCTTGAGACATGGAGAGTAGTATTAATGATTGGCAGTAGACGCAACCTCTTTCTGACCTGTCTTAATTTGTCTCTTATTTTTTGCCAGAAGTCAGGGACATATGTTTGTGGGTGAAATCTAGAGAGCAGAGTTACTCTTTCTCTTGTTAATTCTTGTTTTAACTTTATCATGAGACACAATCAGTCTTCACATCCTTTCCAAACAGAGCTGTCTAGTGGAGCAAATTATTTACAAAGCCTTCCTCTTCATGTTGTCCAGATAACACATTTTCCTTTGCGAAAATGGATTACATCTTGGCTTTTATGAAGCTGTACTAGTCCAGTTTGGCCCTGGGTCATCGGTTAGAACTGGTGCCATACATTTTGCATCACATTCTCTGCAGAACCCTTGAAGCTTATCAGAAATGTACTGAATTCCATAAAATCCTTTGTGCACCTTACTCTTCCAGGTAATGCAGCTCTGATAGATTTCTCATTACTCCCTGCAAGAGTTTTTGTTGGTGGGAGGAAGTTTAACTGTTTTGCTCATCTCCTGATTTGGAAACTGAATGGAGTGTTGACACTCTTAGCTCTTTTTTAATTGTGACATATTTAATTTAGCTGCTTGACAAATTAGAGTTGAAAAATGACTGATCCTGAACCAGACTGGCTCATTTTCCTTGAAGCTGGATTATCACTTGAGTGACACAGTTTACAGCTATAACGGAACTACACAATTACAATAATCCTACTTTAACCATCATGGCTCTGTCCCGTGGAGTTCTGAGATGTGTATTTTGGCAGGTACTTCAAATTCTCTGAACTATAGTTCAAGGGAGTAGACTAGATCTCTCTAGCACAGAATTATAAGTGCTTCACCAAGTGGGAAATCCTAGGATTCTAACTCTGTAGTGCATATACCCTCATACTTTCATTTGTTTCATGCCTTCTCATGCCAGTACCTCTCTAAATGTGTGCTCTTCTCTTCTCTTTTTAGCGGAGTTGGAGTTCGTACAGATAATCATAATTGTGGTGGTCATGATGGTCATGGTGGTTGTTATCACGTGTCTGCTGAATCACTACAAACTCTCTGCACGGTCCTTCATCAATCGGCACAGCCAAGGGCGGAGGAGAGAGGAAAACCTATCATCAGTAAGTAATCTGAGCCACCCAAGATCTGTCATACTCTTGGATCACAATTATTGTTATGTGTGCATTCTTTACCAACAAGGATGGAAGGGATTTGTGGCAGCCTAGAAAAGAGAAAGAGCAGCAGGTCTGACTGTCCATCCAGCATGTAATTAAGGCTATATAATTAAGGCTATATAACCAAAACAACGTGTTCTGGCTTGCCCCCCTCCCCAAGATCTGTTCAGCTCCTAATCAGGATGTTAGGATAATGATATTTTGACTCTCCTGTGACTTCTGACAGGGATCTTGCTTCTGTCCTTTGCCACTGCAGTCATTGGTTGAGAAGGGAGAATTGATTGTTTAGTTTTACTAAACATAGACAAGTTACGCACCTCTAACTCTGGGTTACTGCCATTCTTAATGCAGGTTGAGTTTTCCTTATGTAAAATGCTTGTTTTGGATTTCAGGGGAGGTCTTTGGTTTTGAAATACTTGTATTTGCCCCTACATCCAAAATGAGATATTGTTGAAATTCATATACACATTAGACCCATAGCACTAAAGATAATTTTATACACAATGTTGTTAATAATTTTGTTCATAGAAAAAAGTAGGTTTTCATTGAACCATCAGAAAACAAAGGTGTTTCTATATTAGCTGTGCATGTGAAATTTTTGGATTTTGGAATGCCAGATAAGGGATGCTGAATCTGTATCAATATTTATTTCTATCTTCTGTTAACAGTTATTTTAAAAAGATAGTTGTAGACATTAACTAGTATAAATAGCACCTAATTATAAGCTGTTATATTGTCAGTTGAACACCTCAGATGCAGGAGCACTGGTGGCACAATGGGTTAAACCCTTGTGCCGGCAGTACTGGAGGCTGACAGGCCAGAGATTCGAATCCAAGGAGAGCAGGGATGAGCTCCCTCTGGCAGCTCCAGCTCCCCATGCGGGAACATGAGAGAAGCTTCCCACAAGGATGGTACAACATCAGAACATCTGGGCATCTCCTGGGCAACGTCCTTGCATTCAGCCAATTCCAGAAGTGACTTGCAGTCAAGTCACTCCTGACATGAAAAAAAGAAAAACACCTCAGAACTTCTCCAAAGAGAGTTAAGGGCCTAAATCTGTGTCAGTACGTCGATCAAAAGAAATAAAGATAGGTTGGCTCTACATTGCAGTTATGGTAGATTGACACCACTTTAAGTGTCCTGGCTCTAGTCCAGTCGTTCTCAACTTGCGGGTCCCCAGATGTTTTGGCCTTCAGGTCCCAGAAATCCTAACAGCTGGTAAACTGGCTGGGATTTCTGGGAGTTGTAAACAAAACACCTGGGGACCCACAGGTTGAGAACCACTGCTCTAGTCAATGGAATCTCGGGCTTTGTAGTTTGGTGAGGTATTTGGGATTCTCTCTTGATGGTACTTTACACTGCTGTGGTACAGTATTTGAACTTTCTAGTGTACACCAAACAGAGAAAAGATGGGATATAAATAAATGTAATAACAACAAGAACAACAACAACCAATCCCAGTATTCTGCCTGATGGCAATTCCAGTGGAATCAAATTACTATAATTGTGCAATGTGGATACATTCACCAACTTAGTAGAAAAGATAGTTCTGCTGTGCTGTCAAAAATAACTTGTTTTCCTTGGGTGATCCTATGATTTGAAGGACAAATGTTCTATTGAATTTTTTTTAATTCTAAAGAGTTATTAGTGCTAAAGTGCCATTACACTGATTTTGTCTATAGCACTATAGTACATCTAAAGAATTAAAAAGGAAAGCAGAACACATGTATACTTTTTTCTCGTGTGTTTCAGCATTGAAAAGAAACCTACTTGAGGCTGGGAATAAAATTTTGAAAATGATCCCAGGAATTGCTTAAAAATAGGAAAACAAAAACATTATCAGTATTGGCATTATGGTCCCCATATTTGGGGGGGGGGGGAGTGGGAGATAAATAAAAGAAAATATAATGTTTCCAGTCTTACACACAACCTTTTTACCACACGTCTGAGAAATACCAAATGTTTGATGTTAAGAAATGGCTCTTCAAGAAGGAAACACTTGAGCATTTTACCTTAGGGGATTCCTGTGTAGCTCAGTGGTAAGGAGGTCAACAGCTGATAACTTGCGACCTGAATTACCCGGGTCTCTGTCAGACAGGCTTTTGAATCCCCTGGCAGCAAAAATGCAATCAGCTTTCAGGCAGACATGCCCTACAGCAGTGTTCTGCATGTTCTAGGTTCTTTTCCCCATACATTGACCTAAAAATTATACATAGGATGGCTTTAAGGACCATGACTTGGAATCTCTCAAGTTGTTCCACTTTCTTTTAAAAGGTGCCCGTTAGGATTATGGCTCCAGAATTCCCCAGCTAATTATGGTCATAGTAGCCAGAGAATTCTGAAAGCTGCAGTCCAAAAAAGTAACTTCTTCTAGCCTTGAGCAGTTGCTGGTCGGAAAAGATAAATCCCTTCTTCATCAGTCAAAGATTTAGCCATGTATGAGACCAGATCACATATTCAGCTGGGTAATACCTTTCTTTCCAGATACAGATTTTTTTAATTTGTCAGATGCATCTTGAAAGTAATATCCCTGCATTAATTGCTGTTACATAAGGTCTTTGTGTCGTAGCCCAGACTAGCTTGACTTTACCTAATAGAACTGGAAATGAACAACTGAAATGATCAAGGGGCTGCAACAATTCCATTATGAGCTTAAGGCTTGGGATTGAAAATACTAGAACCAGATTGGAAATGATAACAACTTTGTTTCACCAGCACCAAAGGCACTGACCTAAAATTATACATAGGATGGCTTCAGCACAATTGGAACTGTAACTTTAGATTTCTGAGTCTCTTAGATGTCTCATATTTGTAGGATCCCATAAGTCATTATTACATTTTTAAAAAAGAAAATTAACTGAGACAAACCTAACATGACAGAAAAGTAAGCAGTAGGATAGGAGATCCTTAAAAATAGCTCTGGCATTTCATTTTTCTGCCTCCATTTTAAATTTCTGATTATGACTTTATTTAATAGATCATCTGAATCTTTGTTTAACAAATGAGGAATGGATGGGTATTTAACCTTTTGCTTCAGTTGGGACAAAGTGTAACAGCAGAAGTTTAATCTGGTGTTATTCACTGATAGTGAATACAAGTTTATTGTTTGCAGACCATAAGACCCTTCAAAGTGCAAGGAAAAATAGATGGTTTAAACCTCCACAGAGTTTCCAACAACGTGACAACCACCAGCTGCCTCCATCCATTTCTTTCCTTACACTAGAGTATACAGCCTGACATCAGCCCAAAGAATTGGAGCAGCAGATGGGATAACGCAATGGCATTGCCCACTGCTAAATTAAATATAAACCAGTGAGCATAAGGCAGTGATATACTCACCACTTCATAAATCTGCCCAATGGGATGGTGAAAAATAAACATTTGTATGGCTCACCGTGATTCCCGCCTCTGCCCTGTGTTTTAAACTGTTATCAGTCAAGCGTCCAAGGCAGCCAAGTGGAATTCCTATTGCAGCAAGGGTCTCTGATGTTTACCCTCAAGTAAGTGCGCCTGAAATTTCCACTGGTGTATCTCTCTGCCAACGAATCCTTGGTGGAGAAATCAATGCTTCCTTATCTTATGGGAATGTCGCAGTTATTCCTGATACGATACATATCAACTGTTTGAACATCTCAGAAGCATTCTGTATGCAAAGTGTGGCTATGTGGCACTCTCCTTGCCAAAGGGGTAAATGTGTGACTTTATTTTCAAAAGGTAAATCTCATTGCAAGATCCATAAAAGTTTCTGTAACTTGCCCATGTTCCTCGAATTAAAATAACTACTTAAACTAAATTCAAGAGTCTGGAGAACAAGCCCTATGAGGAGTGGCTTAAAGAGCTGGGCATGTTTAGCCTGAAGAAGGGAAGACTGAGAGGAGACATGATAGCCATATATAAATACATGAGAGGAAGTCATAGGGAGGGGGGAGCAAGCTTGTTTTCTGCCAACCTGGAGACTGGGACACGGAACAATGGCTTCAAACTAAAACAAAGGAGATTCCATCTGAATATGAGGAAGAACTTCCTGACTGTGAGAGCTGTTCAGCAGTGGAACTCTCTGCCCCAGAGTGTGGTAGAGGCTCCTTCTTTGGAGGCTTTTAAACAGAGGCTGGATGGCCATCTGTCAGGGTACTTTGAATGTGATTTTCCTGCTTCTTGGCAGGAGGTTGGACTGAATGGCCAATGAGGTCTCTTCAAACTCTAGGATCAAACTTTGATTCTAGTTTGATTCTTTGATTCTAGAATCAAACTTTGATTCTAATGGGGCAGAGAACAGTGGGATTACACTTTCAATGAGCATTAAGCCCTATTTCCATTTGCTGTCTACTTTCTGGTGGTTCTTTTATGTGTGTCCCCCTAATTTTTTGTTGTTGCAGTTTTTGAGCATTTGAATAATGTATAAGCAGAAATTAAGACAAAGGCACCAAATCAGGGACAAATTTTATAGCTGCGAGCAATAGGTTTCTGAAAGATTAGTCTTGTATTAGTTATTTATTTTATTTTATTTATTTAGGGTATTACTACCCCGCCTTTCTCCGCAACGCGGACCCAAGGCACCTCACAGCATACCAGCATATAAAATCCATCAAACAGAAATACATAAACAGGTAAATCATAACAAAACATCAATAAATTCCATAGTAAAGGTAAATGTTTCCCCCTTGATATTAAGTCTAGTTGTATCCAATTCTGAGGGGTGGTACTCATCTCCATTTCTAAGCCGAAGAGCCAGCATTGTCCGTAGATGTCTCCAAGGTCATGTGGCCGGCATGACTGCATTGAGTGCCGTTACTTTCCCACTGAAGCGGTACCTATTGATCTACTCACATGTGCATGTTTTTGAACTGCTAGGTTGGCAGAGGCTGGGGCTAACAGCGGGAGCTCACCCTGCTCCCTCGATTTGAACCACCGACCTTTCAGTCAACAAGTTCAGCTCAGCAGTTTAA